ATGGAATGGCTTGATCCTGAAAAATCCGGATGCAACCTCCAATTGATGACATCATGCTGTGATACTCCACCATTACGTGCAATCTCAAAAGATAGTTGCCTTGGTCAAATCATAGGAAGTCTTCCATTGTTCAGTTGTCATGCAAAATATGTCTCCCATTCCGGAGTTTTTGTTCGACAGCAGACAGATAACGTTTGGGTGACTTCGTCATCTGAATCACTACATTGTCTAAAAATTCCAAAAATCGAATATCGAACTAGTAATCACGAAACTTTGAACATAAGCCAGCAAATAATCCTTCCACCGGTAGCTCTTGTAAACGTAACTCCAGGTTACACAATTTTATGCCCTGGATTCACTTTGGCAGGCCGTCCAAGAACTTCTAATGTCTCTTCGCTCATAATCCTAAACAATAGGGGGCTATTCTCTACTAATATGTTGATCGTGGATGTCTCTCGACACCTCACCGAGAACACTACATGGTTTAAGACAAATTGGACTGAGCAAAGAATGCAGGAGATCATAAACGATCTACGCCAACCAATAACAGCCCCTACCACTCATCAATTCCTCCCATTCATAAATGGTCTCTTAACATGCTAGTAACTAAATTGACATTGTTCGGACTGGCCGCCAGTTTAATATACTTGGCTTTTCGACGTTGTCGAACAACTAACCACCGAACTCTTCGAATAATTTAACGTTTCCAGCTACCAATAGACAACACAATGTAAATAATCAACTTATTAAAAAGAAAAAAATATATACGCTTGTTTTCTAGGTTATGATTCTCACTGCCGAAGAAAATTTTCTTCAACCTCGCAGCTTACTTCTTGTTTAAGAAACTTTCGAGTTCTTTTTTTTGTTTTTTTTCTTGTCTTTGATTTCAATAGTTATATATTACTGTTTGCATCTCAAATTATTCACATTCGATATTGTATCAGATTATTTAAAATAAAGAAGTAACTCAAGTCACTTATGCAAATATTGGAACTCTTTTTGATTTAATCTGTAATTACAATGTAACTGAAATGAAAGCAATGCATATTTATTGCCAGTAATCGTCAGTAAAGTTTGAGTGAACAGCAGGCGGACCCATGGTTTTATTCTTGTCTACTGATCGTCCCTACTCAATGTTTCATATTATACTAAAATGCATACTCTAAGAAGAGTCCAGCTTTTGATCGACTATTTTATAAGAAATTCTGAAGCGCAATTAAACAAAATTAATTACGATAGCTCTTTTTTTACATATTAGATCGAATTCCTTTAGATACAAATAACAAAATTATATCATAAAAACTCGAGAAATAGAGACATGCCGATGTAGATAAATAATACTTGATGGTCACTCCAAATAACAAGAAAATCTGTCAAGTGCTGACCTTATTCTTGATGGATACACTGTCCATACTAAGAAATTCAACTGATACAAAATATTTTGTGGTTTTTAGTATAAACTAAAGTTGCCTAGATTTGATTGAAGTTTTTGCTAGACTCTAACAAATTCAAGTGAAAATAATTTTTATTAATTTTATTAACTTTGGTTGTATGCTTTGGAAAACGTTTCAGAGAATGATTCATCTTAGTGCAGACTATGACTCGCAACCGTTATCAAGTAGAAAAATAAATAAATACGAGAAAGATTTGGAATAAATACTCCGTCATCCGGGTGCTGCAACTGATAAAGAAAACAGTAAGAAGAGAATACTGTTATAACCCTAACAATTATTTACCTAGCATTGTGGCATTGACAATCGAATCAAATCATGGCGATGTCAATGGAGTGCAAACTTTCATAGTTAGTTTCGCAGAATATGGGAGCAGTTTATTTATTGGCAGGTTCTGTTCGATTCCTGTTGTGATCTTACTATGCCTCAGGTACACTCTTCTATACCGAATCGATCATACGATGTGATGTGAAAACTATTTCAATGGCTTAAACGACTGGAATTTCCTGAATCAGTAATGCCGTCGAATTTTTCAGTTAATTTCACTATGCATGAGAATCTAAAGCAGATGTTATTCGGTCCACATCGCAAATAGTATACGATCGTTTACCACCTCTCTGGCTAATCTAATAAAATCCTTTCAGTAGAGGGTCAGCGGCGCTTACGCCGCGTTACTTGTTGATTAAAATATTGAGACCATAGTTGATAGAATTTTTCATTAAATCGACATCGTGGACCATATTCGGAGATATAATTTAAATAAATTACACGTAACGTGACGTAACCGTCGATAACCCTCAACTGAAAGGGTTTTATGTTGCTAAACCGATTAAATTAGACAGAGTGCATATTTGAAAGAATCGCCTCATGTGCAGGTGAAACATCAAATGAGTCGTGTATATGCGACGCGAAAATTCACATTATTACTAGACTCCTTATTTAGTTCGTATATCTTCAGTGTCTCAGCAGTATTCTGTACACTGTGCACATATCACTAGATCCCACATGTACCTTATGTACTGTTTGCAGGTTTTTCGCATTCTTAATAATCCTACCATATTATTGATGCTGTTCTTTTATCACTAATGTTGGTTTCAGAAATCAGAGTATACCATCCAACAGATAGATGTCAAACTTTAAGCTTCGAGCAAAACTGCTTTTATTCCTTTTTATGGAATCAAACTAAAGTGATAGTTAATGAATCACCGTACTTTGGTCTTATTCTCTCTCATACTTTTATAGAGTACTATCAAATTTTTTTGCCGTCAGTCCTCTAGTCGAACGACATATTATCTAGCTTTGTTATTTGGTAAAATAGTAGGTGACAAGCTCTTCATACATATATATGTATATATACTTGCCATTTTCATCATTGGAATTATGAAAAATACAGCCTGATTTATTACTAGGGATGTACGTCAGGATGTCCTCAAGTTTAAGTACGTTTATTCGATATATATAAAAATCGATCGAATCGCAGTCAACAAAACGCACTCCACACCCGAATGACTATTTTCCACCCGATATCAAATCATATCACCGAAAAAGAAAAGAGAAAGAGAAAAGAGAAATGAGAGAGAGAGAGAGAGAAGTCTATATGTGAGGGCATCGCCCGTAACATTTATAAACTGGAAATCCATGAAAATACTCTTATTTCTTGAAATTCTAATGTCTTGTGTCTTTGAAAAGTATGTAATTCACTAGTTTAATTCTTGAAACAGCTTTCTGCGACCGCAACAGATTAACTGTTAGCCAGAGAGTACTACCATACATTTCTCGCTGAAGACAAGTTAACATCAAAAGACTTCTCGCAATCGCATGAGGGTAGTAGACGAAAAATGAGTGCAATCTGTCTCCAGTATGAAATTTGCAACATAGTCGGAAAAATACTTTATATTCCGAAAGTTCCTTTTATAAGCTTACACTATAACTACAAAGGTTGAAGCTCTGATGAATGTTTACACAGGCGCTCTACAGTTGGAACATCATCTAATTCAATGTCGGCAAAAATGCCTTTCTACACTGTTCCCCTATCCTTTCAAATATTGAAACATATAATGTGTTAGCTCGCTTTGACGAGCCGGTTTACTTTTTATTCCTTCTTTATCTTAAAGCCCCTTTATAACAAATCCGCATACATATATATATAAAATAAGGAGATAGTAAGAAACGAGAAAAAAGACGTGATCACCATTACAAATGACAACAGAGAGAGAGAAAGAAGTAACAGATATCGAGGGAGAAGGGATGAGGTGACTCACTGCTAACATTCCTCCCCTCCCTATTTTATGTGTGTCCCCACACGACAATTATCGTAATAGATTCTTCAATATTTCATTTGGTGTTCTTAAATGTAGATTTCGAGCTATTGTGACCGCTAAACCAGGACCATTAGATGATGTTGAAGCATAGTCTTAAATAAGCGATCATATGAATACGTTTTGATTGATAATAATGTAATAGTCTTGAACAAAAATCAATCCATAATCATCTATCCAAAAATTTTTAATTCAGCTATAATTTCATAGTTGGATTCAATTGTGGATCCATCAGCATTGATTCTTCAACTCCCATGTAGAATAAAAACATTTTTAATGAATAATGATGATAACTCCATTTTAATTCATTATTTGTGTTGATTCATATTGGATAAACAATGGAGTCATGACCTTCAGCCATGATACATCATTCTTGGTATGATTGTTTACTCTTCTGAGTCAGGATTTCTTGAGCCATAAGCAAGAGATGCTTGACTTATTTAGAGCTTTATATACTGATGTGTTTTCCAAAATCCTTTATCCTTCACAACGTCTGATAGTATGAATATGTTTCCTTTTTTTCTCATAAAATGTCACGTCGGCGAAAATATCCTTGCTGAGTTTCAACGGCAGAACTAATAGAATTATTTTTCGTACATTTAACAAGATCGCCATACCTTTCAGTACAGCGTCAGCGACGTTTGCGTCGCATTACGTGTATTATAATACATCTGCAATGAGTTTAACAAAAAAAGACATTTAAATCAACTCTTACACGAAACATATCATGTAGCTCATTGACAAATAGATCGATAACGTCAAACTAATCTTCGAAGATTACTCTTCCACTTTATACATGCATTAGAGGGCGAAATCCTAGCGATAATCATTAGATTAATAAATTGTCTCTCTCTCTCTGCTATCAAATTACTTCACATAGTCAAGAAAAATATAAAATTCGATACGAGAGGAAAGCATTTTCATATTGTATGCAGAAGGCGAAGCGAATCTTTTTTTAAAAATTCTGAATACATTCTAAGCAGTGTCACATATCCAAGATTTTGGAGATGCCATCACATCTCCAGCGGGAGATGCAATATTTCGCGCGAGAGATGCAGGTGTGAGTGTGAGGGATGCGTATCTCTAAAGGAGATCTTACATCTCCAGTAGTGAATGACCGCATCTCCAAAATCTTGGATATGTGACACTACTCTCTTTAAGACGATAGTATCTTTCCAAGTGAGGCACACATAGCACTCGTCTATTTTGTTAAGTTCTATACAACTTCAGAATGGCTTATAATTGCGATGATCCTAATCGATATTACGATGTACTTGTAGAAACAAAATCAAACAAAACATTTATATCAGGTACTACAATGTCAGCTATACCAAACGAAACTTTAAGATCGAATCCTGTCGTACAACCATTGAACATTTCTTATGGAGATAGGCTTATTACGGACGCCGATATGGAACGCATAGTTAAAGAAGCACTCATAGATCAAGAATGTACGAAACTTGACTTAAGATCAAATAGAATAACGCATGCGGGTGCCGCAATACTTGCCAATGCATTAAGAAATAATAGGGTAAGAATTTCCTTTCTCATACCATAATTTTGTTTATTTTCGAGTATGATTCTGCTCACTTTTTCGCACAGACTCTCACTGTTCTATGTCTCTACGACAACGAAATTGGAGACAGAGGAGCACAACATTTGGCTGATGCATTAAAATCTAATACAGTAACCCTACCACCAATCTTTATTTTTGTTTCTCAATTAGTTATATCCATTTTTTACACAGGCACTCACCATATTAAACCTTTACAAAAATATAATCGGACCTATTGGAGCACAATATCTGGCTGATGCACTACGACATAACAGAGTAACTCTATCTCATAGCATTCATCTCCATCGTTTAGTCGTTTCCACGTTTTCACACAGACACTCACCACACTGTATCTCTACAACAATCAAATAGGAGATACAGGAGCACAATATCTTGCTGATGCTTTAAGAAATAATGCAGTAACTCTATCAGCCACTGTTTAGCTCTCTTTTCTTTAGCTACCTTCACTTTTTTTATACAGACACTCACGTCACTAAACATTTGGAACAACAATATTGGACCTATTGGAGCACAACATATTGCTGATACATTAAGACATAATACAGTAATTCTGTTGCCTATGTTTCATATCTCCCTTATAATCATTCATACTTTTTCACACAGACACTTACAGGACTATATATCCAATACAATAATATTGGACCTGTTGGAGCACAACATCTAGCTGATGCATTAATAAATAACAGAGTAATGCTAATTCATACCCTATCTTCCTTATAACCATCGCTTTTTTGTCACATAGACACTCAACACATTAAATCTCCAATACAATCAAATTGGAGACACAGGAGCACAATATCTTGCTGATGCATTAAAAACTAACACAGTAACCCTATCATTAATATTTTATCTCTCCTTTAATCATTTCCGTGTTGTTTTCACATAGACACTCACTTCGCTAAATATTTATGTGAATGATATCGAATACCAGCTTGAAAACAGCATCAAGCAGCTGATAGAACGGAATCAGCAAAGTAAAAAGTAGTTAATTTATTAAAATAAAATAAAAAATTATTTAAATAAATAAAACTCGCTAGAAAAAGTATTTAAAAAAATGAAATTTTGTTTTAACCCTTTAAGTACCAACGGGGCTTATAAGCCCCACTTTTTTGAACTTTGATAAATTCCGAATTCTTCATGAACAATGAAATGATATCGATGTGTGATTGGCGGTACGGCATCGAAGGCATTTCGATATGTATCCCTATATGATATTCATCACTTAAACAATGCCATGCAACTGATGGATCTGATGTGTCTTCGGAAAAACACCAGGGTAGTAACACATAGATCAATTCCATCTAATGGGAAATCGTATGCTATCTTGATGATATGTCTAAATGCAATTCAGGCTGTGTCAATAGTGACATCTATCGTAATTTTCTTCTCGTTCTCTTTACTGCTTGACTATATGTATGCACATGGCATCTTTCAAAGCCAACAGTCACTTTGACTTTGACAGTTCGTGATAAACTGTTTCGATATAAAATACAAGAAAACTGTGAGTGATTCGCGTGAATTTGATTCTCAAGATGAACAATCTTCAACCTTCTATGAATCTAGTGATTCTTCTCAGGAAACTAAGGATTCATCTGTTAACGAAGAGTGAGCTTTCATCTGACAATGAAGATGTTAGTAAATGGAATTATTATCTTCCACAGAGGAATCTAAAATCATTCAATGACAATTCAAATGTTTCGCATCAAAATTACTCGAAATTTCGTCCTATAGATTCTTTCAAATTATTATTTACCGAGCGACTGTTTGAACCTGTATTGAAACAAACAAATTTTTATGGTAAACAAAGATACCGCACAAATTGGATCTTAGTCAATATGAATGAAATCAAATCATGGATCGCATTGAATATTCCAATGGGATATCATAAATTACCATCATACAAGCATTATTGATCATCAAATTTTTATTTCCAAGTGCCTATTGTATCTGCAACAATGTCAAGAAACGCATTTTCAAAAATCTTAACTAATTTTCATTTGTTAGACAATAAGAAGATGGCACCAAGAACATCACCTAAGTATTCCAAGTCATATAAAGTTGATGAATTTCTGAAGATTCTATACAACAATTTTAAAAAAATGACATTCTAGGTTACTATGTTAGCATCGATGAATCTATGATCAAATTCAAAAAACATTCTTCGTTGAAATAATATCTTCCAATGAGGCCAATAAAACGTGGATTCAAAATATGGACATTAACAGATGCAAAAAATAGCTATGTTTATAGCGGGTGTCCCAGAAAGAATGGGCTCATCAGTATTTTGCTGACATCTTTATTAAAACTAATCCGTTTGGGGTCAAGTTTTATTTTGAAAGATTCGCCTTTTTATCCTCTACTAAAATCCTCATTTCTTATTTAATTTCAAGGGTGTGCTTAAATCAATTCAAAACCAAATCAATCTATCTCTTAACGAAAAGACAAATCAATTTGCTAGTCTCAACTCTTGCTTTTCAGCAACCGATCAAAGTCGAATTTCAATTGAAAATATAATAATTTCTTTCTGTGCTAAATATAAGAAATATTTTGAATACATGTAGAGTTTAATTTTGCCGACGCGTTTCATGTTTATTTATTATTAAAATATTGAAACACTCTTCAGGGCTCTACATTTTAATTCAGCACAATAAAAATAGGATACATATAGTTAAAACAAAATTGAAAAGTAAAATGAAAATGAGGAAACAAATAGAAAATTTTTTAAAGAGAAGAATGAATTAATATGCACGACGAGTGGCCGGTAATATATTCCATCGCTCGAGCTCTCTTTCTGAGGCGATCCGGTCGTGGATTATTTGCTCTATATGTTCATAATGGCATTCGACCGTTGTTAATGGTGGATCCATCTTTACGATAGAGTTGAGTAAATTGGGCCACTTTGGTTTGGGAGTAAATGTTTTCTTGTCGTATGCATGCGTTAATTATATTTTTAATTTATTTTCTCTTTCCTGTCCTTACTTATACCGTATGGATGTTTATATGTTTTTATTCTGTTGTCTTTACTGATATCGTATCGACGTTTATACTTGAGAATCAACTAATTTTATATATATATCCAAAATTGTTTAAATGGTAATATTAAATTTAATAAATTCTTTATAGTAAAATTAAATCCAAGACGAATTTTGTAGTGAAAAGTAACATTAAATTTAAAGGAATAAATATAATAACCATAATTCAAAAAATAAGTAATTTTATAATTTGAATCAATTCAATACTGATTCCATAATTCTATAACTAGATTCAATTTCATAATTGTATAACTAAGCTAGATTCAATCTATACTTCACAATTAAATTGAATTTAAAGAATAAGTACGATGATTATAAATGTTATGGTTCTCACTAAATTAGATGAAGCATTTCATTTAAATCCATATCAATCTACGTGTCCTGTTTGTTCTTCTATGCTCAATGTTGACATGACAGACGTCATATCTGTTCAATTGCATACTCTAAAAGGTGCAATACATGAAGGTAAACAGAACATATCTTGTGAAAATCTACTAAAATAACAGTAATTATAGTTATAGGCAAAGTATTTTTCATATCCTGCAAACATACTAATACATCCTTTTATATGCATCCGATAGCTTATGTCTACCCAAATTTTTTTCGACAAAAAAACATGATCACATTTACGTCGGAAAGTTTGCAAAAATATGATACAGTTTATTTGGGTGGTAAATATGCATTCGAACGAGCTTTAATAGAAAATTACACTTGCCAATTGATCAGCAGTGCCAGTTCATGGCAGAAGTTTGTTGATGGACTTAATCTGGGTGCATTCAACGCTAGTTTGATTGAAACAAAGATCGACTGGAGAAAAAGACGTGCGATGGCATTTATTAAATACAAGATAGTTGAATTTGATTTGTCTATTGGTACATCAACAGTGTCCATACCCAGTTCAGCCGAACAATTCGATTTATGGATCTGGAATCAGTACGAGCGTCTTCTTTCATCTTTCGTTTGCCTGTGGAGCAACCACAAAACTATCATAAAACCGTGTGAATCGAATTGTAGCCAATGTATCATAATTGATGGTCATCAAAAGTGCCGTCGGCGATTTTGTCGAGCAAAGAATGCTTAGGTTGCAACACAAGAATTTGCTTCATTAACCGTTGGCTGTTGCCGAACACCAAACATAAGATCACATTTCTGTGAAATTCACCAAAATTTAGCTGAAGTGAATGCTACGACAGTCTTACAGAAGAAGCGAAAGATGATCAAAAGAAAAATGATGCGAAGATTTCTACAACGTGGATTTGGTGCCACACACTGCAAAACAGTGAAGGAGCAATCTGAACAATATATTGAAAAATGCAGCAGATCGTTTGGTATACTTGCAGGTGTAACCAATTGCAAAATTGTCGTCCCATTCTCAGAAATTTTCAGATCAGAAACATTGCGTGAAATCATAAGTCTACTCTGTTCTACAATTCGAGGTGAGCATCTAGAAAAATATGTCCATCATAACGTTTTATTTATAATGAGAGACCATACTCAAGATTCATATAGTATTATAGATAAAAAGACAAAAAAAGAAATAAAAATTTTGCCGTTCTCAACTAAACTATTCTAAACTTTACTCTGAGAAATGGACATATATGGTTCATATGAAAAAAACAAATTAGTTACGAAAATAGTACAAGAACTTGCTCTNAACACACGTATATATAGGAGAGAGATAGAAGAGAGACAAGAGAGAGAGATATTACACCAATGGAAAGAGAACAGAAGGAAGAGGAAGGAGAATCATCGAAGCGTGCAATCAATATCGGCACAGATGGTATCAATACACAAGCCGCTGAGCAGTTGTTTTCTTGGATCCACGGCTATGCGAACATACTAAGCAACCTCGGTTGGCGCAGGACGGCAATCTACTTGCTGTTGTTGTTTCATTATAAAAATCTGGAACGAATTAAAGTGCGACCTACCCATATATTCAACATAGTGAGTGAAATGAGACAATTTTAAATTAAACAGCATAAATTTCAGGCTATATCGATTCTAATGGTTGATAATATAAGTTTGTCACACGCAGGAGATACTCAACAAGTTCTTCAACTCGAAGTAGGTTAACCAAAGACATCAACATTTTTCACCATTTTATCTTTAGCGATTAGCCAATGTAAAAAATACCCATACGACAGCAACACAAAACTATTCCTTTGAGGTAAGATGAAACTATTCATATCAACTTAATGTGGTTCTTCGTTTTAACATAAGCAACCGACAATCAGTGTGCCACAGTCAACCCAAGCCGCTAAACAACAACCCCGTAAAAAGAAGTTTCAAGTCGCTAACATGCACCATGCGACAAAGCTATTAGCCAAAATGGAACGGCAGGCACAAAAAGAAAAACCAATTACAAAACGAAACCGACGCAGACAGAACCAAACACACACACAAACACAATAACAATATAATAGCATCAAACACTCCACAATACAACGGACCAGAATCCCGATTGTCCCCCATTGAACATGAACTTCAGCTTATCTGAATAAAAATCATTCAATAGTTTCTCACTGAACATCAACCAATTCTACTGCTGAATGATCCATTTCATCTTGAAAAAATTGTAGAAAAAAAAAGAAAATTCATGAAAAAACAGAATAATACCATTTCTACTTAATGGAGATAAACTTTACCTTATGAGAATGAAAATCGTTAAACAATTTCTCTATGCAGATGAACCAACTCTACTGATGATGATTCATCACAACGTAAATATAATGCTTCAACCAAAAAGAAATCGTGAAAAAAGTAGAGAATCTCACCGTTTCTACTAAGTAAAAAGCAATGTAACCTCACGAGAATAGAAATCGCTGAACGGTTTCTCTATAAAGATCAACCGCTTCTAGCACTCCCAGTACATTTCCCATACAATGGGGACTTTCAATTTCAAGAAAATTCACTCGTTCGCAAAACCACCAATATCTCCCAAGATAGCTATCTATAGGTTCTAAGCCGAGAGACAGAAACTACTAGCAGCCCTGTAGATACCTATCGATATATCCTAAATTATCCAAGACTACTGCAGGAATTGGGAGTTATCCGTCATATATTTCTCCTTGAAAATAAACCACCTCTACTGTAAAACATCCATTTCTCCTGGAGATATCCCCTTATAGTGAAAAAAATTAACGTTTTGTGTATAAAATTTATCTATATCTCCTTGGCTCTTATCAACTTCTGCTGGAAAGGGGGGATATGGTTCGTATATTTCTGCTTGAAAAGAAACCATCTCTACTGCAAAATATCCATTTCTCCTTGAGATATCCCCTTATAGTGAAAAAAAATAAATTGTTTCCTCGAGATTATTGATCGATTTCTCCTTGACTTTGTTAGGGGTAAGTATTTCTGCTGGTTATTGAACCATTTCACGCATTTAGGGGATATTATCCACCCCTCGTGAGGGCACGTTTTTTAATCATGGTAACTGATTGATTTTCAGCCTATCGTGGCACCCACAGTTGAGGTGTTATGTATGTGTGCAGACGTTGTTTTAAGCCTTTCGTGGCACCCACACTTGCGATGTTATGTATGTGTGCAGATGTTGTTTTCAGCCTTTCGTGGCACCCACACCCACACTCTCTGGTAAATAGCTGTAGACCCTGGTAAATACGTGTAGACCCTGGTAGATACATGTAGACCCTGTTAGATAGATGTAGACCCTGGTAAATTGCTGTAGACCCTGGCAAATAGCTGCAGACCCTGGTAGATACATGTAGACCCTGGTAGATACATGTAGGCCCTGGTAGATATCTGTAGAAATTTAGTTTTAGCTCTGAATTATATTGTAATTCATTTCTTCTGAATTACTTTGTAATTCCTTTGCGTCATCCAGTGCAATAAATCCCGATAAATCCCAAGACCAATCTAAATACTGGAATTTATTAAAAGATCCCGATGAATTTAAATGAAATAAAATAAAATCGTAATAGATCTCAATAAATCCCAATAAATCTCAATAAATCTCAATAAATCCCAATAAATCTCAATAAATCTCAATAAATCCCAATAAATCCCGAAACAGAAATAAATACCGGGATTTATTAAAAGATCCTAATAAATCCCAAATAAATAATTCCCGTTAGCTGCTGCAAGCGTTTCGAACTCTCATTCATTGCAATTTCCCAAGACAGTTCTTGGAATGTCCTTCTATTAGAAAACGATCGAAAGCACTTCGAAATACCTCAAAACAGAGGTATTGACTGAAAAGCATCCTTAAGAATCCTTTTTAATAAAAGTGAACGAATGCTGCTTTCGAATACTTTAAATGGAAGGTAATGAATTAAAAAGACCTTTAAGCGTCTCTCTTCGTTGATTTCGAGGAAGAAGTCTTCGGAATACCTGAAGTTTATAGTAGTGAGGTTGGGATCTGTTTTTGTCTGCTATGGTATAGTGAATGATTTTGAAGCAGTGCGCGAGTTTATTGGCATTATGAAAGCTGACTGGAAATTTACTTTGTTGAGGGTGTGACGATCGAGGTTGACGAAGTGTGACTGTGTTAGAAAATCCGTGAACGATCTCAGGCAGATTGGAACTTCTGAAATTTTTTCAGCTGTAATCGGTCGGATTCCGTTTGCATTCCTTGTGATTACGGGTCGGTTCCGGGAAATTTTTCCCAACGGTTACGGTGGCGGTAATAGTGCGGAATGCTGCTTCCACCTTCCGGAGAGTCTTCCCGTCCACTTCCGGACGGTTCCGAAGTTCGGAATCATCGATCTGGGTGTAGCTGAGTATCTGATTATCTGTCAAAACTTTCATTCGATGATAGTGAATTTTGTATCGCTACGCTAATTCTACTTGAATAAAAAATAAGAATACCAGGTACGGATACAGCGCTTATCGCCCAGGATTGAT